GGATAAAACCACTAAATTGCAAACAAAAAAAAATGATTAAACTTAAAAACTCAAGAGAAATATATCAAATACCACACAACTCACTCACAAAATCATCATTAACCACTTTTGATCTCATTCCCAAACTTTTCAAGTTTGACTTCAACTTTACATTGTTTCTTAATTGTGGAATGTTGATCTTCAAAGACTTCATATGTAAGGTCATCTTTTCTCTTTTCTCTGTAACTTGGTTTGAATTATCAAATTCATTAACATACTCAGTGTTGGTAAGAGTCAGCAGTCCCTACAAAAAACAATACTTTAAAAAATAATTAAGTGGATATTTATAGACCAAACACAGAATTCGTATAATGACATACCTCATCACGAGAGACCAATTCTAAAATATTAGCTGGCTTTTCTGAATCATCAACAGTTAAATCTTCAACCATATCCTTATTACTCGAAATCTTGAAAACCTTGAAAATATCGTGACCACCCTGAAGATTTTCTTTTATCAACAGCAAGAACAAACTAAAAAGTCTTTCCAACTAAGTTTTTCAAAATTTCTGGGAGATCTTCAGGATCTTCGATCTAGGTATCTAAACAAATATGGTAAATGATCGATCATATTATAGTTATTCAACATAAGTAAGTATCTTTTAAATTAACAAATAGATACCTTATCGTATGATCCGTTCATCAAGTCTGATGCTTGACATTTGACAATCTCAATTGCAGACGTGTCGAATAACAAAATAGTTTTCTCACTTGTTGAATCCATGACCTTCAAATGAAGTTTGAACCTGACATAATACAATGAAGATATTGTGATTCCGGTCATATGTTATGAATAGAAACAAAGTAAATGAATCATTTACTTCGGCACAACGTTGGTGATAGACTTATTACATTCATTACAATGCCACCTAGGTTTCTCTCTTTAAACGACCACCTCATTGGTTCCTGCGATGATCTTCCTAACCTTTTTGTGATTTTTGATCTTACACCTAAAATAGCACCAACCCCAATCAGTGTCAATGGCATAGACTGTAGAGATGATCCTCACTTTACCAACCTATCATATGATGCTTGACATTATTAGCTGTTTATTTTATATATGTATATTATTAAATACAAAAAGTTAAATGAGTTCGTTTAGTTCTACAAGTTCAGCAACAGTGACCATAGGAAACTGGTAGCAATAATCATCGGTCTTCACTATGATTATCGTAGTAGGTTTGCTTTCTAATAGAGTAAGAGCCAGACCATCATCTGGTAATCTGAAAAAAGCAAACAATTAAACCAGATATTTTTTTCAATATACGAAAATAATATAATTTCTATTTGATCATACACAGAAACTATAGTTTTCTATTTACAAACTCAAGCATTCGCAAACTCTTCAATTTCTGGTCCAGTAGGGTTGATGATGAGTAAACTTGCATCAAAAGCGTTGGATACACTCTCTGAGATACATAGTTCATAAATGTAAGATCCATTGTAATTCCAGAAAATCACTATAGCTAAACTCATAAATGTACCAACTGTACCTTTGAACTCTTTGATTTTTCCAAACCTAATAAGACAAATTACTTTTTCTGTCCCAGGATTGGAGGTGGCTTCAACGATTCGAGTAGCAACAAACCCCCATAAGGTACAACCTAGCTGCATGTCACTACAAACAGAATATTACACTAAGCATTAGGGAAAATAAATCAAAATAAACCCAGCATAAATACTTTAAAATCAACCCATGATTATATTACTTACTGCTCATTCTGAAGTTCGAAGTCAATCTTCTTTGCCTCTTTGTTATTGACATGCATCGTAGACAGTTGGCCCACGTTCACTATTTGTCAGACAACATCTTTTTTAAATAACAGATATTTAGTTAGAGAGAAATGGCGGATTAGCTTATATAGGTTGACGATAAAAGTTTTGATCGTACCACACAAAATGCTCTGATTCTGTATGCCTCCATGAATTTGATTGAAAGGGAGCACATCCAAGTAATCAGTAACAGAATTAGTGACAATTGTCTCTTTGACAAAACTAATCCGGTAACAATGTTTGGTAGTACGATATTGACCGATCGAGTGGCTAACATTGAACTCTTCAATAAACTTCCAGTTCCCTGCGGAGAGATATTTTGATATCTTTTTAGGTGTTGTTTTTTGACAAAAGCATGAATTTTCGTACCCTGAAAAAAGGAGTTAAAGTTTTAGATAACACTTAACATATGAAAAACAGTATACGCTAAAATAATATACCTCTTTGTTGGCTAAAACCATTTCGATTGATTCTCCTGATGCGAAAGCAAACTGCTTCCATAAGTGCAAGATTTTGACTTGAATCCTCCAACTAGATTTGAAGAGCTTAATATTTTGAACAGAGGTAACTGGAATTTTGGAAGTCAAGTGGAATTTGGAGGCGTAGAAAAGTATGAACGATATGTTTAGCTCTATATATTCTATTTATATTCAAGTCAGTTAGGTTTTTTTAGCAGTTGTTTTTGGCTAATATTTGCATGCCCCTGATGTCAACGAATTAATGAGATGAGAATATTCTAATAATTATGAGATGGATTAGATTTTTAGTTATGAGTTTAATGTTAGTTCGTTTGAGGGAATGTAGGATTTTTGTTATACTCATAGACGGTGAAAACGTTTAGCAGTTGTCGAGATATGGTCATATATTATGAGCTATGAATATCTTTGATTTATGAAAAACAGATATTGAATTATGAGTTAAAGGTAGGTAATTTGCAAGAAATTAGGATTTAGTTGAACTCATGAACGACTTAAACGCATGTTAGTTGCCATATTTTTAGCCAAAGATATTCTGATATATATATATATATATATATATTCTGATATATTATGATTACTGATTTTGGTTTAATTTTGTCAAACTGGTGATTCCCGTAACTTTTATGAATTCAGCTGGAATTAAGTTTGTGGGATCCGCATTTTTTTAATTGGACTTGTGAGTTGGGTTTTTCTGTTTGGACATGGTCCAAAGTATGTAAGATGAGTTAACTCAACTTGCCTCTTTTGTCTCTAATTATATATGTTGTCAAACACAATATAGTTATAATTTTAGTGGCAATACTTGTAATAACATTGCTTTTTCGAGTATTTAAAAAATGTACTTTTCAAATAATATTGTAAAGATTAAATGAAAAAGGAGAAAAAAACAGAATTGTAATTAGTTAAAAAAAAAACTTTGCAACAAGAACAATAGAAAGAGAAAATGACGGCAGATGGAGTTTGATTTCTACATTATGTGATCCTATTGATTGGTATTTCTCCAATATATATTCATCGCTTGTAAAACGTTCCACAAGAAACCAATCCCTTGTCGCCCAACCCTAACTCTCCGAAAGATGGCTGATTCTAACTCTCCAAGGAGGAAGTCTATAAGGTTGCAAGTGTTAGTTATGTCACATAACTTATGTGTAAAAACATGAACTTTTCGCAAATAAAATTCTTGGTTACTCTGTGAAAAAGTGTCAATTTGAGTCTTTTGAGTCAGAAAAGGTTTCAATAGGATGGAACATAAGATATATTATGCTAGTCCTTAATCTACTTGATCCTCAAGGACTATTGACTTGCCCTTGTGACTCTTGAGAACAATTAAGTCATATCTTTGTTACAGTGTTATAAGACATCAAACATATACATGTGGGAAAAGAAAATAGCATAGCTTAACAGATTGATAGTCTGAATCATGTTGTTTAATGTATATGTTCTTGTGCAAAGATAGCTAACAGTGTCCCTACCAAGGATTTGTTGTGCAATGTTGGATACTACATCAAACTCAAAGGCCGCTCTGCTTGTTTCAGAGATTTCACATTCGAACCTCAGACTACTTCAGGACTGAAGCCTTCTTGTGGTCTTCTCTCACAATGTCAAACATATCTCTGCGACCATATAACTAACCCGTTCGATGCATCTGTAGAACTTTACTTCAACGTCTTCCAATCTCATCTCTTCCCTCATGACTTTCTCATCTGCAATCTCCACTGCACTCTTCAGAGCTGCCATCAACATATCTGTCTCAAACATATCGTTATCGCATCTCGCCATTACTTTATCGCACTCGGTTAGTTTCTTCCCGCCCCACACATCTCCTTTATCTTAAGTGTTTTGACAAATGCTTCTTCTGAAGAAATGTTAAAAGGATTCACCTGAAATGAAATGAATTGATGCAAAAAAATCTACAATTATATAAACCCAAACTTCATTATACAACGTTAAATGATAAGAACCCGTGTGTGGGACATGAAAATCATGCACCAAACGTTTCTAGAACAATTTGTTTCAAACTCTGGTTACTAGGCTTTGGCCAGTGCATCTAAATGGGCTTGTGAACCATTTAATATTCAACTTTAAGAATGGGAGGGGCCGCGCGAACGCAGGCTCCCACTGCCACAAATAATGACGCAGGCTCTCCCACTTGGGGAGACCTTAAGCTAAGCGCCCCTCCTTAGTGTGCAATGGAGATCACTAGCTTAGGCCACTCGTCTTCTTGATAAAGAGTCGACCCCGTCCAGGTAAGTATCTAAATCGGTTCGACCTTGTCCTTGTTATATACTACGCCAAGACGAGTGTCTCGTTGTTAAAGTTCCGATGTGGGAGAAACAACATTATTTGTACTGGGGTTTGTTTGTTTACATATTGGGGCCCTCTTTTAACTAAACTAATATGTGGCCTCAAGAAAACCCATTTGAGATTTGATTATGTTATGTACTCCGGTCACCACTCTTGATGATCTTTTATGTTTAGCAAAATATGCCAAATCGATCTACTTACTGTGTTTTTTGTGTGTTTAGAATAATGAAACCACATATTGTAGCTCAAAAATCTAATACAATTTTTTTAAAAAAAAAGAATTCATATAATTGATTACATTTTTTAAATCAAGTATCTCAGCAATCAAAGCCATATTCATCGCTTGTAAAACGTTTCATACGAAACCAGCAATCCCTCGTCGTCGCAACCCTAAATCTCCGAGAGATGGCTGATTGTAACCCTAAAGTTTTCTTCGATATTGCCGTCGACTCCAAAACGGTTGGTCGGATCGAGATGGAGCTCTTCACCGACGAGTCCCCGCATGCGAAGAGCTCCCTGGCTCTCTGTACCGGCGAGAAAGGCATCGGGGAGTCTGGTGTACCACTCCACTATAAGGAATCAATCTTTAACCGTGTGGTCCCAAATCAATCATGGGAGATTTCAATTACGCGGGCGGATCGTTGCTCCCATTGCCCGGCAACCCTCGAAACTGTGAAAATAAGCCCACCAGGAAGCACAACCGTGCAGGTCTCCTCTCCATGTTCAACCATGATGGACACATCTTTGATCCTCAGTTCATGCTCCTCATGGTGGAGGATCCTGGTCTCGACTATGCGAACGTCGTGGTCGGACAGGTTGCTAAGGGATTCGATGTAATCATGGAAGTTGAAGAGATGGGTCGGACAAAAATTGGAGATGCCGCTCGTGACAGTCGCCGACTGCGGTCAGATTCTTCCTTGTGGTTCTCTGGTAACGAAGGTATTTTTGTTGCATAGAAAGAAATCTTCAGCGTATTGCTGCTACAGAAACAAATCCCAAAATCTGTGCTTGTTCGGGTTTTGATTATACTGTATCTTGGGAAATGAGAGCTTTATAGATTTGGTTTGCAGATATATAAATGTAGTTTTGTTTTGTTATCATCTAGATACTGTTTTGTTTGCTTTTTGCCCCGTTCGTTATTGAGAGCTTGCTTTAATTTTGATGTATATAGTTTCATCACAAGATTTTGCTTTCTAAAAAGGCTCGTAAATGGTGGTAAGTCATCAACACCCATATGCGTTTGATTAGTTATTTAGGATAATCATTTGTTGCTAAAGTATTCGTTTTCTTATTTTCTTCTTCTATTTTACGTATTATTCAGTTGAATATATATATTATTAATTTTATCATTCCAGGAAGATTACTGTGCTTTCTTTCCAGACTCTGCCTCGGTGGCAATTTATCACAATCATCACTTGCGAGTCGTGCATCGGGAAAATAATACACGTTCACAGGCAGTTGAAATGAGTGGCTTGTCCTGGTCAGATTTTGAATATAGCCTCGCCATAACGCACCTTAAACTGAAGAAGGAGAAGACACTGGTCGCGTTTAGTAGATCGGATCAAGTTTATTAGCTTCTTGTGGTTGTTTGTAATGTTTTGGTGTGTTTTATTTTTGTTTTTCGGATTTGAGTTTGGTGTTGTTATTTTCTAGTTTTAAACATTATTATCAAGTTTTTTTTTTTCTTTCTTTTTTTATTTTATTTAGAATCGTCATCTTTGGCTGAAAAGCCAAAAACCATTCCCGTTATTAAGTTTGTATTACATCTGGATTTTATGAGGCTCAGATAAGTGTGAATCATTTTGTAAATTCTATAATATTACAATTGTAGAACAATTCTTATGCAGATCACACATATAAAAGCCACAAAATGCTTATAACTAAACCCTATTGATGAAATTGCTAAGCAATCAATGTGAATGTAGGTGAAACATGGGATGGAAGAGGAACCAACAGGGATGAAACAGTATAGATTCTCTTGGCCGAAGCGAAGCAATATAGATTCCCATGGGCGAAGCAAGTCACCGATTTGTACTATAAGGTAAACTCCTACTATTTCAGCTTCTTTTTCCCGTGGTCAATAGCTAAATATTTCTAAGATGAGATTTTCCAATCTCTCGACAAGCAGCAAATAGAAAATGAAAAGATGCAACAAAAACAGAAAGATTTGTTTCAGAACCGAACACTAACCGTTAACATACTTCACATCGACCCAAAACCCAAGAAAGATGGAGTCAAGTGTTCTAATATTAGATTTTAATCAACCTTTCAGATAATTAAATATATTTTTCTAAAACCTAACTAGTAACATATTTTTAGAGATTTTAAAATCATTTTACTAATATTATAATTGTTTTTTAGAAAAAAACTTTATTTTGAAATATCAATAAGTTTTTTTTGTCTTCTTATAAAATTAAAATCCAAAATGGGTAAAATAAACAATATTTTATCTAGGAAACCCATTATAATAAAATCAAGTGTGAAATTAGAAGATATATAGCAAGATATGAATAAAAAGTAGCATATAAACAATAATAAGAAAAGCTAGAAAGAATCAATAAAAAGTTACCTATTAAAATAATTTCATAAAAAAATTACTAGATTTACCATCTAGATACGTATAGATTTATTCCTAAATAAAAATAAAAATAAACTTGAATGGTCCTGTGATTTAATTTTGCTTTGATATCTGGTAAATATGAGGCATCACCACTGTCCGACAGCCGATGCCTTAGTTGCCTTAGTCGAGAGATTCAAAATTCTTGATTGTATCATCATGTGATCTTTTCCCATATTTTATCTTCATTCACACGATTTTTGAAATCATTTTCCGATAAGTCATTCATCCTATTCTTACTCCAGCTCAAACACATTTAATTCTAAAGTTTTTTCAAGATCAATGACCGAAAAAATAATTAAATGGACTTTGATAATATAAAAAGTTAAATCAATTCTCTTAACTCTTTCTATTTATAATTCATAATTACTGAAATCAAGATATTATAATGAAGATGGTGGTGATGATGTGATAAAAGAAAAATGAGAATGGAAGGGAAGATACAACAATGAATATACAGAAAAAGAGCATGATGTAAAAGAATTGCATAATTTTCCCAAACAAATCGTATTCTATTATTCTTAGTTTAGCCATCTAGATTTCATGTGATAATTTTTTTTTATATATAGAAAAGAGCGGTTCATAAATCTTATTTTGGCTGCTGGATATGGAATTTAATTAGCAGCATGAAATATTATGTTTCTTTTCTGCATTACTTTTTACTCTTTAATTATTGTTGGTGTTGTATATATTCTTGCAAGATTTGTTTTTGACTATAAGATTTGAATCAAAACAATTTGCATACTCCCAGTTTTATAAAAATTGTCGGTCTTTCTTTAAAAGAGAAAACTACACTCAGTGACACTTTATGGAACTTCTCTTACATATGTGGACACGTCTTAATAGTGATATATTTTCAGCATGTAAAAAGTCTGAAATACTCCCTTTCCAGATTTAATACATCCAGTAACAAAATCTCATTTTTACATTTTTCTGTAAAAATATCTTCTTCCTCACTTCCGCCGTTTCATATTTTCAGAAAACCCTAGTTTGTACAACCGTCAATTCAGTTCATCAGAAAATCCGCTCGCCGACTATAGCTCGATAGCCGATTTAAAATACTTCTTCATATAGAGATTGCTCGGATGTGATCCCCAGGAGTAGCAAACTCGAACGAAGAACATTAATATAGAGGGTACTTTTTTTCAATCGAACTCTCATTCTGTATTTTTTTGTCCGGATTAATACCCCACCCCACCAAACTCGCACAATCCAGTTTTGTTTTGGGTGTCCCTCATTGTATATATTTTAGATCTTGTCCATTAGCAGTTAATTTTACGATTATTTCACTCAGATTTTCATCAATTAGTCCATCTGTTTTTTGTTTCCCAAATTAACGATCATCCATCTCTAGCCTTTCATCAACAAGCTCTACATACATGTTTTTTGCTCATTATTGTTTTCTCGCCTTTATAAATTAAGATCCATATTGTTTTGTCCATGTCCAGTTAAACATACGATTCTCTCAGATTTGGGTTAAATTTCTGCAAAATAAAATGACCATCCATTCAGTGTTATCCATTTTCTGGATGATTTTCATCTCAATCATAGGTGAACTGCTGCCTGTCCACGGTTAAACTCTTTGTGATAAGGATATGGTGTGTTTTGGTTGTTTTTTTGGTCAATCAATGGTTTAGTCTCTTGAATGAAAGCTATGGTGGGATATCTTTGAAAGTTTATTTACTTGGCATCTCTCATATCATAATGTCAAATTAGAGAAATTGTTTGTGTTTTAAGTACATTGCGGGCACCATCGGCACGTGAGCATAGAAAAGAAACCGTGGACAATGGAGTGGGGACAGGGGAGCATGGTCAATGCATTGTGGACAAAGGAGCATGGAAAACGAACCGTGGACAAGAAACCAAGGACAAAGAATGGTGGACAATATATCAATATTTCTGGGATTCCAAGAAAGAAGATTAGAGAGTGCGCTGGCGATGGAGTTGGTGCTTGTGATGGATGCTGTGGATTGTTTTTATTGTCGTGTTTCCAGTGTAATGGAAGATGTAAATTGGTGAAAGGATGCCCTTGTTTTTTACTTTCTGTTTTGGTGGATAGTTTTTTAGTGGACATGAAATCGTAGACATGATGGCGTTGGCATGAACAAACTCTCCTTTAGATTGATACTATATGAATACGCAAGTACACATATTGCAAGAAACAACACTATGCTTTATGTATCTAAATCCTATTTGAAAGTTGATTTTGAAAATAATTTTGATATTATACATTTAAATCAAAGAGGTTGTCGGCCAAGTATAATTTTTGAGCTCGTTTTGCATCACTGTTCGAATTAGACTGATCATATTCATCCTTAGCCAGAAACATAAAAAACCTTCAATGATGTTTGTCAATGCAATGTGGACAAAGGAACATGGACAACGAACCGTGAACAAGAAGCCATGGACAAAGAATGGTGGACAAAATATTAAAATTTATGGGATTCCAAGAAAGAAGATTGGAGTGGTGTTGCCATGACCGAGTGAAAAGTAGCCCACTGTCACAAAACCACAACTTCACAGATTTTTCAAACAAAACATAGTACTAAAAGGTTCAAGTTGTTGCTCACAAAGTGTCATACATGTCGATCATGAGGCATTGATGGAGCAGGAAGTGAAAGTCCACCGTGAGCAATCATAACATCAAATAGCCACAAGAGCGTAAATATAAATCTGTAAAACAGATTAAAACAAAAGTGAAATCAAAGAAGAGTGAAAGTCATCCAACTAGTTTTTATTTTTAAGGATGTTAAAGACGATGCTTCTTCTACTTCTTTCATTAACCAAAGATTCAAGTGATAAAACTAAGAAAATTTCTCGAAACTTTAAATTTTATACAGAATTAAGGAAAAAAGAGAGAATCCAATCAATCGAATGATCCATTGTTTCCCCAAATTTAGAAACACCTAAGAGAAATCAAGGGCACCAAACTTGCAGGGAATAAATAAGAAAAACTAAAACTGACCACCATGAATGAAAAACAACATGATCAAGGAAACATGGACAATGAAATATGGACAAAGAAGCGTGGACAATGAACCATGGATAAAGAAGCGTAGATAATGAATCGTGCGTGGACAAGGAACAATGGACAACAACGCGTTCATGATAGAACATATGCTCCCTCCAAGATTTATCGATCATTGAACCACAAGATTACTAACAAAACCATTGAACGGAGTGCTTCTATGAATCTATCCATCATATACAAACCCATTAATACCAGAATGAATGGACACTGATGGTGGACATTCACACAATACCATTGCCATTGACATTTGTTGCCTACGAAACCGCTCTTTTGATGAATTATACGGTTCATTACAATCTGTTAAGATGATTTATTGGCATCGCCAGCATTAATAATTTTCTCTTCGTTAACAGTCAAACTTCTGCACAAACGAGATTCGCTTCACCATCTTTATACCTCGACCAATTCACCAAACAGACATCTTCGAACTGATTGCAACACAATCTTTGGCTATGGCCGCAGTTGCGTAAATCACGAGACTTGCTTCACCATCCTTATACCTCAGCCAATTCACCAAACATGCATCTCTGATCTGACTGCAACACAATCTCCAACTATGGCCGCCGTTGCATAAATCATTATTAAACACATTTATTTTATCTTCTCATTAAGGGTAAAATAGTCAACTAGGGTTGCAAAAAATTTGAAGAAGTGCCCCACATGCAAAATATATATCAAAAGTAATGAGTTAGCAATTAAATGTGTCTCAGCGTAATCATGTCTCTTTAAAACTCAAAACCTTGTGTAGTCTCTTTCACTCTTATATATATATATATATATATATATATATATCAACTAATTTATCACAGTCCAATTTGAGGCCTCCTATCGTAACAAATCATGACTCTTGATGACTTAGCCAAATTATGTGCCAACAATGGCTATAATAAGTGGTACCTTTATGTTTGTAAAACGTGTAGAAGTATTTATGTAAAGAATAGATTAGTCAATCTCTAAGACCTAATTACCTCTTGTGTAGCTCCTATATATTCTGTAAACTCTCGTATCAATAGAATTCATTCAGCCTTCTATTTATATGGTATCAGAGCTGAATCAATACCTAGAAACCTACAACATATAAAAGACGTCATCTTTTTTTTTTTTCTTCCAACGTCTATTCATTGTTCATAGGATATGACAACTTCTCAGCCCTCACTTACCGATAATGTCGCTTTGCCTGATTCACAAAGATTGCTTCATGTCAACATGACCAATGTCACAAAGCTTACTATTCCAATTTTATCATGTGGAGCCACCAGATCCATGCTCTATTTGATGGATATGATCTTGCTGGCTACTTAGACGGATCCATTGAGATCCCACCACCAACAATCACCACTGCTGGGGTTGAATCTGTCAACAAGTCCTACACCACCTGGAAGCGACAGGACAAACTCCTATATAGTGCTCTTCTCGGTGCAATTTCCCCCTCCGTTCAATCACTTTTGTCCACAATAACCACCACTTCCAAGATCTGGTACACCTTGTCCTCTACCTACGCAAAGCCGAGTAGGGGTCATATTAAACAACTTAGACAACAAATCAAGCAATGGACCAAGGGAACAATTGAATATGTTCAAGGGCTCACAACTCGATATGATCAACTCGCACTTCTTGGTAAGGCAATGGATATTGAAGATCAAATTGAGTTTTTACTTGATGGACTTCCAAAAGACTATAAAATTATGGTGGATCAGATTGAGGGTAGAGATTCTCCGCCATCACTTACTGAGATTCACGAGAAGCTTCTAAACCATGAAGTGAAACTCCAAGCTACTGCTGTCTCCTCTCCATCGATCTCTGCTTCTGCAAATGTTGCAAACTATCGAAGTCAAGGAAATCAAACCAACAACTACAAAGGATATCGCTCCAACAACACTTACACAATCGTTCCAACCAAACCTAGCAACAACAGCAATTTCACTCACGACAAGATCACTCTGGTCCCAGGGGATACCAAGGTCGATGTCAGCTTTGCGGAGTTCATGGTCATAGTGCAAAGAGGTGCTCCCAACTACAACTTTCTGGTGGTCCTATGGTGCCCCATCTCATCCACCAAACCACTACTCTGCCCCATGGCAGCCTCGAGCGAATGTGGCAGCTACTTCTTCATACAATCCCAACAATTAGCTCCTTGATAGTGGTGCTACCCACCACCTCACTTCCGATCTCACCAATTTGTCACTCCATCAACCTTATCTTGGAGGAGAAGAAGTGACAATTGGTGATGGCTCTACCATCCCAATCTCGCACACTGGTTCTACTATACTCTCAACTCCATCTCGTTCCCTAGCCTTAAACAAAGTTTTATGTGTTCCCAATTATCATAAAAACCTTATATCTGTATACCGTTTATGTAATACTAACCAAGTGTCTGTGGAATTCTTTCCGACTCATTTTCAGGTGAAGGATCTCAGCACGGGGGCCCGATTACTCCAAGGAACGACTAAAAATGAGCTGTACGAGTGGCCGATTGATCCCAAATCCATATCCTCCTTTTCTGCCTCACCTACACCAAAAACAACTCTTCAATCATGGCACTCAAGACTAGGCCATCCCTCTTCTTCTATCTTACAAACACTTGTTTCTCACCATTTACCTATTTCCTCAGAATTCAATAAACACTTTACTTGCTCCGATTGTCATATCAATAAAACTCATAAACTTCCTTTCTCTACAAACACAATTACCTTTCGCAAACCTCTTGAATACGTTTACACTGATGTCTGGACTTCTCCGTTGATTTCAGTCGACAACTTCAAATACTATTTGATTTTGGTCGATCACTTCACAAGATATATGTGGCTATATCCATTGAAGAACAAGTATCATGTCAAAGATGTTTTTATTGCATTCAAATCATTGGTGGAAAACAGATTTCAAGATAATATATGAACCTCGTATTCAGACAATGGGGGTGAGTTCATCGCTCTCCGGGAGTTTCTCGCTCATCATGGCATTTCCCATCTCACCACACCTCCACATACTCCAGAGCATAATGGGATTTCAGAGCGCAAACATCATCATATCATGGAGACTGGTCTTACTCTTCTAAGCCAAGCTGCTGTTCCGAAATGATTCTGGCCGTATGCATTTGCGACAGCTTTGTATATGATTAACCGTATGCCCACGCCGGTGCTCAAAAATACATCTCCATATGCTAAACTCTTTGGTCGTTGACCAAATTACTTGAAGCTTTGGGTTTTTGGATGTTTGTGCTTCCCATGGCTCCGTCTTTATACAATGAACAAACTTGAAGATCGATCGGTGGCATGTGTGTTTATTGGATACTCTCTCACCCAAAGCGCATATCTTTGTCTGCACAAAGCCCCTGGTTGAATTTACACTTCTCGGCATGTTCAGTTCGTTAAATCAAGTTTCTCCTTTCTTGTGCCATCAGAGAAGTCCAATCCGCCATTAGACACCGATTCATATCAATATTCTTCAAATCCTGTCCCCACCCACATCCCACTCACTCAATCTGCCACTCGTCTCAGCTCCGCCGGTGTTGCCCCCATGCTCGGATTCTTCACAGTTGCCGTTGTTGCCTTCAGTGTCTCTTCCCCAAGTGATGGATCCAGCTTCGTCTCGTGGAGAAGATGACTCTGATTTGGGCCAGGAGAAAAATTCTACATGCCCAACTTCCCCAATCCAACATAGCCAAAGCCAAATACAAAATCAAACAAGCCCAATTCCTACTCAACCAAGCCCAATTCCACCAATTATAAATACAGAATCAAAGCCCAAATGATCAAAACCCAGCTCCAAATCCTATTCCTAGAAATCCTAAATCACGGTCCTACGATGGAACCTCTCGAAATCGTCTTCTTCCACAACAATACCACTTCTGCCTCTCCAAAATGATAACTCCATAAAACTCGTGCAATGAACCAAATCATCAAATCCATAGAGAAACTCATTCCCAGAAATCCTAAATAACAACCTCAACCACTGAACCCCTCGAAACCATCAAACTCCACAACAATACCACCTCCGCCTCCCCAAAACAATCACTACATGAGCACTCATGCAAAGAACTAAATCATCAAGCCCATAGACAAACTCACCCTTACAGCTATAACCTCGACCACTAAACAACACATACCAAGTACAGTGAACCAGGCATTGCGAGATCCAAATTGGACAAGAGCCATGAGCGACGAATTCAATGCCCAGATTGGCAATCATTCCTTCGACTTGGTTCCTCGTCAACCAGGGATGAATGTTATTGACACCAAATGGATTTTTACGCTCAAATATCTTCTTAATGGTGCTCTTGACAGGTCTAAGGCGAGACTTGTTGCTCGCGGGTTCAATCAACAATATGGAGTCGATTACTCTGAGACTTTTAGTCTGGTGGTCAAGTCTATTACAATCCGAATGGTGCTGCAACTTGCCGTGAGTCGCTCGTGGTGTATTAAGCAGCTCGACATCAACAATGCATTCTTACAAGGGACGTTGTTCGATGAGGTATATGTTACTCAACCTCCATGATTTGTTGATTTGGATCGTCCCAACCATGTTTGTCGTCTCAGAAAGGCTCTTTATAGATTCAAACAAGCGCCACGCGCTTAGTATGAAGAATTGAAGAACTTTCTTTTGGAGATTGGGTTTTCAAACTCACTGGCGGATACCTCTGTTTTCATAGCTATGCGAGGGAGTATCATCGTTTATATCCTTGTACGTACATGGATGATATTATAATCATTGGAAGCAATCAGAATGTTGTTCAACAAACTGATACCTTATTACTTGGGCAAAACACCAATTGCATGGACATCTCGGAAACAGAAAGGGGTTGCTCACTCATCGACTGAAGCAGAGTACCGAGCCGTTGCAAATACTGTGTCTGAGCTCCGCTGGGTTTGTTCCCTCTTGTCTGAACTTGGCGTTAATCTTCCAACAGCACCGGTGGTGTATTGTGACAATATTAGTGCCACTTATCTATGTGCTAACCCAGTGTTTCATTCAAGAATGAAACATATTGCATTAGACTATCAATTTGTGAGGGGTAACATTCAATCTGGTGCTCTACGGGTTGCACACATCTCCACCAAGGATCAACTAGCGGATGCGTTTACGAAGCCCCTTCCTTGTTCACGTTTTGTTGATCTGTATAATAAGATTGGAGTAACTCAGGTCACTCCATCTTGAGGAGGTGTGTAAAAGTATTTATGTAAAGGATAGATTAGTCAATCTCTAAGACTTAATTACCTCTTGTATAGCTCCTATATATTAGGTAAACTCTTGTATCAATAGAATTCATTCAGCCTTCTATTCATAAAACGTTCCACACGAAACCAATCTTCCATGTCGCCAAGATATGGCTGATTCTAACCCTAAAGTTTTCTTCGATATTGCCGTCCAGTCCAAAACAGTTGGTCGGAGGGTAACAACGTGAGTAGATTTCAGTCACAATCTATATAACAAGGATGAAAGATAGATAACACGTCGCAAAACATTGAGAAATTGAGAGAAAAAAATAGCTATAGAAAATATTTAATTCTTCTTATATAATGCTTATATAGACGACCGTGAGATCACTTCAAATAATTTTTACCAATATTTCTCATATATCTATTCCTTTTGTCTCATACACATGGGTCGACTTCAATAAGAGGGAAGCGGTCCGGTTCATGGTTTCTGGTTATCGACCGTGAGTACATCCCGACCATCAGAAATTGGTACGACTCACGAACCCACCGGTTTAGACTTTAGACCTCGCCATGAAACTCCTCTACCTAAAGACACTCTATATATACTCGGCCGAGATAGCACGTGACATGACCGTGATGCACTTGAAAGCTCCTTTGTTCTCAGTGTTCGACCAGATCCCATGGATCACTGGCAGGTTCAGGCGGCATGACTCGGGATTGGCATACTCTCCTTTGATTTATATTCAGGTACGTGTATCTATCTCTACTACTTTACGTAAGATATTTAAAAGTACCAAAAATAAAAAAGAAACTACAATAAAAGATAAAGATGTATAAAATGAAACAAAAATTTCACATTGATGAACAGAAAAATCAGGTGATGATGTGTATGGTTTTTGGTCCATTAAATTATTATAAATCCAATTATAGAAAATTAAGAATTAGTAGAAAAACATGAATATGAAAGAAGATGGCCTTTGGGGGACATAAAAGTGTGCATCTGTAAAAAAACAAAATTTATTTACATATTTAAAGGTTAAATTAACTTTTGAAGAGGTATTAATAATATGTACTTCCTCCAAAAAATTTGTTCATAATTAGATGATGTTTTCAGAAATTAGTGCAAAAAGTAATTGTTTTATTCTATATATTATTTTTTGATTAGTTGAATTATTTTGAAATTGATATTTTGTTTTGGAAAAAAAGAAAATTAAATAACTTCTTAATCTCTGTGCAAAACCTTAAACATTATATATAACGGGAGTAATTAAAATCGTATGTTTCAAATATTTGTCATGGTTGATGGTCTATACTATTGGCATGATGAAAGTGAAAGAAGTGTATGGTGTTTCGGATTTCATCGTCTACGGAGCGAAATTGACGTTTGTGGATCTGAGCGGAGTTGATTTCTACGAGGCAAAGATGAGGGATACATCGCCGGAATCGGTGTATTGTAATGTTCAGGGTATAGGAGACAACGGAGCGGTGGTTGTTGTACCGGCGTTGGAGGAGGAGGAGAGGGTTGTGACGATGACGTTGCCGGACGAAGAGATGGAGAAGGTTAAATGGGAGCTGAAGAATTGTGAATTAGTCACGGCGTTAGTTAACGGAGAATTAATTTAGCGGGGAGGGATATTTATGCCGGTTATCGTATTTTATGAATCCTTTCTCTAATGTTTTTGTCTTTAATTATTTTGCATGTGTTTGTGTGTGTGAACCTTTTTTCATTTGTCGTACTTTTGTATCATCAATTATGCTACGATGACGAGTTTCGTGTGTAGATCAAAAAGATACGTAAAACAATAAGTAATTAATCGTATGGTTCCAATGATGTTTATATAATATTGCATACTTTCATTACGCATGTGTGTTATTTTCAGTGAACGAGAGAGAGAAAGAGAGAGCCAAAGGAATCCAGTGTATTTTTTCTGTTGATCTTGACAAAATTTATGATTTAAAAAAAAAAAGAATTGTTCGATTAATTTTGAGAACCACATTCATGTCTGTATATTCTATTTTTCTGTATATTTTTGTCTGGGTCCCTATTGTCAAAATTATGCAACTAAGAAACGAAAGACCGATTCAGCACATTCCGATCATAAATAGCAATGCATGCCTTTGGGTGATATATAGCCTAATATATGATAAACAATTAAAGAATGGGGTTACCTTCACCAACTCTTGATATACGTTATGTTAACATTATACATAATAAAACTATAGTACATTGCAGTCGTTATATATATATATATAACAGGAATAATTAAAGAGAGAAAGAGACGTCAAAATAAACCTGTAAGAAAATGTATAACGATTTCGATATATAAGCTTATCTTTATATAGACACAAGACCGAGAGATCACTCAGAATCATTTTCCTTTTTTTGTAGCCAATATTTCTTACAACTATATTCTCTTGTCTCATAATCATGGATCGACTTCAAGAAGAGGGAAGCGGTCTGGTTCATGGCTTTTTGTTATCGACCGTGAGTTCATCCCGGCCGACAAAGACCGGTACGACCCACGAACCCACGGGACTAGACCTCGCTGTGAAACTACACTACCTAAAGGCGGTTTATATTTACTCGGCCGAGACGGCACGTGACTTGACCGTGTTGCACGTGAAAGCTCCCTTTTTCCCAGTGTCCGACCAGGTTCCTTGGACCATTGGCAGGTTCATGAGGCATGATTCAGGGCGTCCGTACATATTGTGCAACGACTGTGGTACGCGCTTCGTGGAAAGTCATTGCGATCACACGGTGGAGGAATGGCTCCGTGTACCGGACCGGTCCATTGATGAGTCTCTGGTTTACCATCGACCAATTGGACCGGAGTTGGCCTTCTCTCCTTTGGTCTATATTCAGGTACGTAAATCTACATGAAACTGCCAACAAGATATATGCATTTAATATCCACATTCAGACCAGTACTTGCCCTTGCACGTAAGTATTCGATATGAGGATATATGTATATCCAACACATGCACTGATGCACAACATGCTTTCTTCTTTTCTAATCCTTGGCCTTGGACTCACCCATATGGTTACTCAATATTTGTTTGCGAGAGCTCTTTGACTATCTATCTCCTTAAAATTTCTTAATTTTTTTTTTGATCAAAACAAAAAAAAAACCTTAATTTTGAAATTGAAACAGAAAACTTCATATGATCTTCCTTCACATTAATAATTTTTGTAGTTTCAAAGCAAAAAAAAAAAAAAAAAAAAAAACTGACTTGGATCATCTTTCATTTCGATTTTATAAGTTTCAGTCGCCATTTGCCAAACTAATCTCATTTGGACCGTATTTTAAGTTGTATATATTAGTTTGAGAATAAATTCAAATCACGCACGTAATTGATATATCCATACATGGGTCTGGGCATTGAAGAAATATCTTAATCTTAGTCGTCAGGATACTTTTGAAATTTTATAGTAGGAAATAAATTTAGTCTTCCAACTCTTATTAATCAAACAGGGTAGTATACTATTTTTAGTGTATCATTACAATATTACTAATTTTCTCTTATGTTACTTTATTCTTCTTAAAATAAATTGAAATCTCCTTGCACAAGGAGACCCGCCATAGTTGATTTCATGACACCTTTTACACAAGGAGTGATTATTAGTTGTGGTTTTAAATAAACTTTGATGGCATGTAAATTCGGTACACAGAGGAATTAAAATCAATATTTCAAATCTTGCATGAAATACCGGTACTCATTTAGTGAGCGATTGTTTTCACTTTCACTCCTCTATACATCGGTTTAATTCGGTTTTGTTGCCGTAGATGACCCGGTTTAAATGCGGTGGATTAGCGTTCGGCTTAAGCTGGGCCCATATCATTGGAGATCTATTCTCGCTTTCTCACTTTTTCAACTTATGGACTCGGGCCTTAGCTAACGAAAAGATCTACTGTCCCACAACCTCTGAGCTAGAAAGAGGTTTTCCGAACCCGAATTCCACGGGCAAAGAACCGAGTTCCATTAAACGGGTTGACCCGGTCGGAGACCTCTGGGTCGCACCGAGTAACAACAAAATGACTACATACTCCTTCAATGTAACGGTTCACGATATACAATCACACTTCCCGGCGAACGGAGACGAATTCGAGATTCTCAGTGGGATCTTATGGAAATGCATAGCAAAGGCGAGAGGAGAATCGGAGCCGGTTATGATTACGGTAATCAGATCCGACCCGAATGGATTGAAGCCTAGAGCGGTGAGAAACAGTCAGATGATTAGCTCAGTTCGCGTCGATTTTTCTGTCGCCGACGCGAATTTGGAGGAGATTGTGAAATCTATCGGAGAAGCGACCGATGAGAGGTTTCGGATCGATGAGATTGCGGCGAGCGATGACGGTGTTTCGGATTTCATCGTCTACGGAGCGAAATTGACGTTTGTGGATCTAAGCGAAGTTGATTTCTACGAGGCGAAAATAAGAGAGACGTCGCCGATATCGGTGTACTGTAATGTTCAGGGGATAGGAGACGACGGAGCTGTGGTGGTGTTGCCGGCCGCGGAGGGAGAGGAGAGGGTTGTGACGGTGACGTTGCCGGAGGATGAGATGGAGAAGGTACAATGGGAACTGAAAAAGTGTGGTTTAATCACGCCGTTAGTTAACGGAGAATGAATTTAAAAGGAACGTGATATTTTTAGCCCGTTGTTCCTTTTCGTTATCAAGTGTGTGTAGTGTTAAAAAGGAAAAAAAATGTGTAATGTTTATTGTATGGTTAACGATGTTTATCGTATTATAATATTAGTGAACACGATAGAGAAATTTTTTTTTTGGTTGCTAAATGGTAAATATCATATAAATGAAGGTTTAGGATTTACAAAGAGCAGCACCTAAAAGTTTGATACTTTTGAAAAAAAAACAAGGTAGCAAAAAAGTTGGGGATCGATTGGGTTAGAAAACTTTAATGAAACCATATCTGCATGAACGTGTCATAGTGTTTACGGTGTCGTCTTGATGAGATGATGTTGTGAATGTCTCTATCCAGGCTCTTAAAGACGATCGAAGAATCATAGGAGCATTTGAGGAGCTCGCTTTTGACCAATCCATCATATCATCCCAATCTTGAAACGGAGGATGAGATGGAGTTAACCTTCTCATAATCTGATCCTAAATCTGCAAACTATAATCACAAGTTAAAAAAACAAGTGATTTCTTAACTCCTCTTGCTGCGAACACAAACAACAAGTTGTAGGGACCAGTAATCCCCATGACGCAAGTCTAAATTGAGTAGGCAATCTATCCATGTTTGCGATCTACATTTTAAAAGCCTGTTTGGGCACAACTTGCTTGAACCAAACCGTAGGAGCCCAAGGCTGATCCGGAGCCGTAAGCCTCACGACATCCCATATTCTTTTAGCCGAGAAACCGTTACAATTTATGCCATCAACAACCCAAGTAAAAGAATCAGCTGAATTTGACATACTTTGGAGAGGTATCGTAGTGAGATGCACATGAAGGTTTATAGCCACCTCAGATCGAAGGGGAGGTAAAGTCCAACCATCAATGTTGCAGACCATAGCGACTGTAGCATTTAGAAGCACTTTGAAGCTTCTGGGACCTGACAAAACCCTCAGCTTTGATTAATGGACCGAGGGGGATCCAAGAGTCAAACCAGAAGCTAGTATTTGATCCATTCTCCACAATAGGTCTTATGAACTTTTCAGCTAGGGGGCGAAGCTGCAACAAGGATTTCCACGAGAGAGACTTGTCAACAAATACAATTTTCTTCTGTTAAACGATAAGCACAAGTTAAAATCCTTGACAAACCACACATAAAATTAAGAGAATTATATAGCCAATGAGACCAAAGTATATATTCTAGTTGTAAATCTATTAACACTCCTAATTAAGCTCAAACCAAATCATCATCTATACACAATACACTGAGCAATATTCTCTTTCAAGTTATATCAACGAACTCTTTTAGAAAAAGAAAACAAAAGATGAACTCAACAAACACAAAAATGGATATAACTCTTTCAATGTTTGTAGACACGAGGACACTTTTGTGTAACAATTTGAGAGAGAAGTTAACCGATTAACGATTAGGTGGATAAAAAAAAAAAACATAAAAGAAGCAAATACACAAAAGTCAAACTCAAGAAGAAAGTTGGGTTTAGCCACCGTGGAAGCACAAACTGTGACAAGTAGAGATCATGAGAGCCACCACGGTAGAGTTCGTGGAAGAAACCACTGTTTGTAGTAGCATTGACATAAATCGGAAACACCGAGTCCATATAATCTTTGCAACCGCTAATTAAGTCTCATAACACAACCCATCCATAGACTTATTGTTCTTCTTTTTTCCTCCTCCTCCTTTTGAAGGCTAAACTTGTGAGTCCTCAAGTTCAACAGCCCACAGGTATATGATCTCCGAGTCTAGAGGACCAATAAAGAATTGGTGTTGACTTGCCACAAAAGCTTCCATGCCGCCACATGATCATTATCAACCCTAAAGTTCCGACCAGCCTCCAAGATCTGATTATAGGACCCCCATTTTCTCCTAAAACGTTACGATCCTGAAGACGTTGTCATTGTTCTCGTGAAACGAGTCTCTCCATGTAGAGAGATTACAAGTTTTTATTCTTTACACACTCATCTGAATCTCGCAATGCTCCTCAGAAAACACCTTCATCACCAGTTTCTGATTCTTCCCTTCCCCTTTGAGTGTTTTTACTTTATTTTGGAAATGGGAAACCAGTTGGCTAATTAGGGTTTACAAGCAATGACGCTTGAAGAAGACAAACCATTGATCTTGATCCGGTTTCTATAACATATCATCTTAGAGTGAACAGATTCGACGCCTACGTAATTTACATTTTTACCAATATTGTATTTGGTCCATGGTTGTGTATATTGGCCTCTCTTTGTAACAGATATATAACGAGGATTCATTTATTACTTTACATCGATTTAGTTGGTGGAATCTGGGCTTGTTTCTCATTGGAGATCAAGATATCGTAGTTGCAAGCTAATACGCTTGAATACGTATTCGTGTACTACGCAATTGTGAATAATATACGAAAGTTGTTATCAAGATGAGAAACAAATGAATAATACATGTTGACAAAAAAGTCTTGGTTCAAAGAAGATGAGGAAAAGAGAAAACGAACAAGTAAATATATGCAAGAAATAGATTATAGGTGGGCTAATTAAAGCTGCACTAAACTTGGAACATAAGAGCACACAGGTGGGTAACAATATTTGTAGTATGCAGATTCTCCGATATATTCTTCTTTCAAAGATCCATCCACTCCAAGGATGTAAGGTAGATTGTCTTGTCTGTATCGATCAAAAACCACGACGACTTTCTTCTCCTCGTCAACAAAGAAACTCATAACGCACATCGAAATTGGGTAACGAGCGGGTGATCCCATATTCACTACCAAGAACACCTTGCTGCTCCACGACACCACGTCGGGCTCAATCTTGCTCGTAATCCATATCTCCAAGAAATCCATTTGCTGAATTAAAACCGCAAGTTGCTCTTCTCTAACACTTGATAGAGTCACCGGATGAGGATCATAACCAATCCACTCAACCAGAAGAGGCAAAGGCGGCCCAAATGTCTCTCTTGTGAAATCAAAACAGATTAAGCAATCATCATCGGCTTCTGCTTTCAAATCTCTAGCAAACCAGTAGGTATTTCCCTTGACAGACACGCCACGTTCATGAGAATATATCTCCCAGCCATCTCGAGTGACATCGAGAACCCTCCATGAATCAGAGTTAAAGTCGTAGATTTTGAACTCAATATAAGTATAGAAAGGAGTAGAACCAACATGTTGATGTATTGCTGACTGACTTAAGAAGAACCTGCTGAAGTATGATTGTTACAGCAACTGTGACAGATGAAGCAGAGATTCTAAGACAGTAGGCAGTTCGGTATATGCTACAGAGACAGAGTCATAGTCGATAGATATGACAGTTCAGATAGAGACATTGTGACAGACCTGACATGGATGCTTAGGCAATAATTGAATGCGGATGCTGAGGAAGTATTTGATGTGAGCATTGATACAATGATCGATACAGAATAGAAAGATGTTGTGGCGATCAGAAGGATGCAGTTGGATTCATCAGAGAATATATCAGACAACATATCAAGGGGTGATACATCATAGGATGGATCAGACGGTACATCAGAAGACGTATCAGACGTCGTATCAGAAAGCAAAGACTTAACGTCAATTAAAAGATGACATGGCAAGTGGCTTGCTGAGTTGTACCAAGTTGCTAGGATATGTTATATTTGTTGCAACAGATTTGGTAAGTAGATAAACTTGAGGAACAAGTTGTATCTATCCGTAATCGCCAGAGATCCTAGGTTTTAGGGTTAAGCGATTAGTATATATACCGAGGCCGTCTCATGAAAACCGCACGTGCCTAGGGTATCATTGACAGATGCACACGTGAGTGTGGCGTCGCCCCCACCAGACAGACAAGATGTAGATCTATAAGTTCTGTTGGTGATGTTCCTGTGAATCTAGCAGTCCGCAGAAAAACTGGATGTGTGAGGATTCACAGTAGGATTTCATGTAGAAAAAATTTCATATAATCATGTAATTGTTATCTTGTTCTAATGGAATTGTTCTGGACGAGGTCCCGGGGATGTAGGGTAAAATCGAACCTTGTTAACAAACTGTGTGTGTTCTTTACTTTATGCACTTATCGTGATAGTTCATATCGAGTGAATATTGAACTAGCCTGAATCCAAACTTACACAACATAATCAATAAAAATCAATACTTTGTGCCTGCGGGATTTGCTGCTCTTGTCGTATCCAAGAGCATACAAATACTTCTCTAGTACTCTGTAGAATTTATAACTAGGAACGATCCACCTGGGTTGCCCCAAGTACGGATTCCAAACAAAAAGCCTATCGTCATCTTTCGAGATGCATAACAATAAACCCTCGCAGTGAAAGATGAGAGATATATCGACTCCTATGCCAATAAGTTTAGCTTCACGCTTGATACATGATTCAACGTTCTTATAAAGATTGACACGCATCAGATAAACCCTAAAATACATTATCATGACCACCATAAACTCCTTTGCTTCTTGATGCAGCGTACACTCGACATTGTTGGACACTCCGTGGCTTTAGCGTGTTTGACAAGTGCTTATCCGTATTTCTTTTTCGTTTTTGTTATTTTACTTGGCTTTGGGATAATTACACATTCTATTTAGATTAGGTTCAGAAAGATCCTACGTGATCTGGGTTTTCTTATTTAAACAGTGTTGTCGTCTTTGTGTCATTCAGACTTCTTTTGATAAAATCAATAAAACCAAAAAGAGGAAACTCAAGTTTCCCATAAGAGCTTTATGTTTAAAGCCCTGAGAGGAGGACTCTCGAACCCTGAAGACAACGGAGCACTGCCGCTGTCTTCTAACCTATCCCTCGCTGAATTCTCTCTGAGCTTTCAGCTCCCGTTTCGTTAATATAGCTTCCGCCCCCCATCAGTTGGTATCAGATTCAGCACGTTCTTGGCGTTTGTTGATTTCACGATGCCTCCGAAACAGAACAACAATCCGGCCGGCAACATGGACGAATTTCGTGCTGCACTCCTCGCGATGCAGGAAAATCTTCAAGCAACGCTTCATGCCTCCATTCAGGAACTGGGAGAGACCTTGTGCACTCGCTTAGACGCACGAAATCCACGTGGGGATCTAGGGGGTGACGAGGTCAACAATCCTTTCGTTCATCGTTATCCAGAGTCGGAGGAGTTCGAGGACGATGAAGATTACTGTCGGTGACAGCGTCGTGATGATAATCACT